GATCCCAGGTGGTGAAGGAGGTGGCTTCCACCAGGATGTTTTCATCTGGCCGCCCCCCCCCCCCCCCCCCCCCCCCCCCCCCGCCCCGCCGCTTGCCTCCTGCCGACAAAGGTGGAGGGGGTGAGGAAGGGGGACGAACCGGTGACCTCTATACTGCAATCAGACTCCTTGAACATTCTGAAAAGCTCCTCTGAGTGTGTTTCCATTAATATTACTGATTTTAAAACTATAATTCAAGAGTTGACACACACACATAAGGACCAAGTTGCCCTCAAAATATTTTCCTTTTCTTCTAAAGATTTTACAATGTATTGTAATCATTAATCACATCAAACTTGAAACAAACAGTTCTAAGACTGTTTCTCCACCACTGATCAAGACTGGGTGGCGGCAGAAATAAGATTCATTTAGTGTTTTGTTTTTTTTTAGCTTGCTGGGCAGACTTGGCAACTTTGCCAGCTCAAGCTTCCTTCTTATAAATAGTTAACTTTAGAATTTGGTCTCTGGTTTTAACTTTTTGTACCACAATTGTTACAACTTCATACCTTCAGATTAATAAACATATAAATTCTGTTAGGTGAGCTGATTCCTCTCTGACAGAAAGCAAAGCACCCCTGGGAAAAAGGAATCCCAGTGGCCACTCAGGGCGGTTTGCTAGCCATCAGAGCACTCAGCTTTAAACAAATTAAAGGTTTCTTTCTTTCTCTTTTTTTTTCCCCCCACAGATTTTCACACTTACATGAACAAATAATTATACCCAAGCAGACAAACAAAATATCAGCAAAATAGAAATGGCACTCATATCGGACAAAGGAAACAAGACTAATATTCTAGGAACTATGAGGGGAAAGTTATCCTACAGACCGGCATTGACCTGGGAAAAAGAGTAGTTAAATCAAAAGCATTAACATCAGAGCCTTAGTCGTCCACCCGTTTCCTGAAGTCCTGAAAATTTTTCAAAAAACATTGTAGAGGGGAACATTGAGACACAGACAAACCATGACCCATTTTGACGGAGACCAAAACACAAAACAAATAGGCATGACACAAGCAGGACAAAACACAAGACAACCTGTCCAGACACCTGGGGCCAAGGACACACACCGTAGTGTCCTCCCGGACCTAGGACACCGTCGTGTCATCTGACCAGAGACTGGAGGTTAAGCTGTATCCAGCTCTCCAAGGACTCTTACCCTTTTGAATCTCAACCTGGGCGCCTTGCCTCCTGAGACCAGTCTTCCCTTTTTCAATAAATCCTTGCAGCTTCTGTCTCCAGCAAAGGTCCCTCAAAGGAGGGAGAGCCTCCTGCCCTTACTAGGAGGTCCCTCTCTCCTCTCATGAGAGGGAGAGCCTCCTGCTGGAGGACAAGCCTCCTGCCCCTTCTGGGGGGTCCCTCTCTCCTCTCTCTCGGGTATCTCACTGGGGCCTCCAAATGTTGTGGGGTCGAACCCTGGGTTCAAAATAAGACCACCAGAGGCTGAAGATTAATTTAAAAAAGCAGGCAAGGGTTTATTGAAAAACTGGCCAGGATGGCTGCGGGAGCACCACACACACACACACACACACATACACACACACACACACACACACACACACACACACATACACACATACACACACACACACACACACACACACACACACACACACACACACGGGTGGGCCCCACATGACCGCACTGATTCAGGTGTAGGCAATCCCTTTTAAAGCTTCAAACCACAGGAATTTCCCTTTGTTCTAAATTCTAAAGGCTGGGAACATTGGAATGTGGCCCTATCTTGCCCATAATACAAAAGCAGAACTCAGAGGTTAATCTCTAAAGGTTATTTATAGTTTCTACCCCTGAAGCTACTGAGTCAGTGGGAATCAATCTCCTGTAACTACCCTATTGTTTAAGCAAGTCAGATAGCAAGGTTAAAATTCAAACAATAGTTTTTACCCAAGTATGATTGCTACCATATATTAATAACATTATTTCCAAGGTCTGCAAAAAATCTCATGATTTTTTTTGTTTGTTTTGTTTCTTTTGTTGTAAATAACTGGGTTTGGATAATTAAATAATTGATGACAAAATGGAGAAATCTGGAAATCAAGATTTCTTGTTAGTATATGGCATAATCCAGACCTGAAATAACCCAGTGTCTATGATAACATGTTCTGTGGGCAAAAGTCTCCCTTCTTTGACACCAGAGGATATGCATCCCATAAATTAATTTATAAATTCCAAATAAGTTTTTTTTTTCTCAACAAATTGACAACTTGTTGAAGTTGTTGTGGACGAAAGGGGCCACATGCTGACCTGACAAGCTCAGGGGAGGCCTGCATGGCAGTCTTGCAAACTCAAGAGATCTAAAGTCACCACAAAGGATGGCCTGAAATTAAACTTTACCTAAAAGCAGTTATGGTGGGTAGTTACATCTTAGGCCCATATGTTCACTGACAAGGTCAAGGTTTGCCTTAACTGAGCCTATCCATCTTTTTACATCTATAATAACATAGCCTTTGTAACTTCCCTTTTTCTGGACCCCTTGGGGCACAACCTAATGTGATGGGCACCAGAACTGGTACTACAAATAACTTCATGATCATGTTACTTGTTCCTTCACCCACCTAAGTGTGTGTCTATCATTTTACTTTTTAATCCTATCCCAGGGGTTTCCCCCATGCTTTGCTTTCTCCTGCCTCCATAGTCTATCATCAGTGGATTTCATGTAACCCGCCTAGGTCCCTTTCTTTTGATTGCAATGTATCAATACAGATGTAACCCGCCATTCTCTGGAATATTATCTCAATTCATTGAGGTTCTGCTCAAATAAACTCACAAAAATTCTTTACAGGTTTCAATGGTTTTTTACGTTAATATTGTGTTCAGTGGAGACCGTGCCTCATAGCGTTGTGCTGTTTGGGAAACTCAGGCAGCAACCCAGAGCTGTGCCCCGCAGGCCACCAGCACAGGCAAAGCCAGCATTTTGTCCCTTATTCAGGAGAATGCCTAGTGTTCCTCACCACTGTCAATGCTGGTCTCTGTTAGGAAATTATGTAGAAATGTCACAACAAATTGTTTAAATACTATAGAAATAACTTACATTTTTTATATTTAAAAATGTCAGTTTTTCAAGAAACCTATCAACTTGGCCTTTGAGATTCTAGAACTTAATCCACATTCATCAACGAAAATGTTTTGGGGGAAAAAATGTTTTGAGTCCCTATCCTGTACAGAACATCTTACCAGGTTCTATTTAAGAAATGAGGCTTCCAGTGCATTGGGGAAGATTGAAAGTGTTAACATTAAAACAACAACAACAACAAAAAAAAACACACACAAAAAACATTGAAACTTGTAAAGAATTTTTGTGAGTTTATTTGAGTCAAACTGTGCACAGAATCTGGGAAGCAAAACCTCAATGAATTGAGAGAATGCTCCAGATAATGGCGGGTTACATTTGGATTTATACATTGCAATCAAAGGAGGGATGTAGGTGGGTTACAAGAAATTCTTTGGTGATGGATTAAGGTGGTAGGATAAAGCAAAGCGGAGGGGGGGGGGGAGGACAGGGAGGGAACTCCTGGGATTGGACAAAAAATAAAAAATGATGGACACATACTTAGGTGGGTGCAGGAAACAATTAACATGATAATGAAGGAGTTTGTGGTATCTGCCCTGGCACCCACCACATTTGGTTGTGCCCCAGGGGCTCCAGAAAAAGGGAAGTGACAAGTTACCCAGACATTTCAAGGAAAGGTATGTTATCATAGATGCAAAAGGACAGATAGGCTCAGTTCAGGTTAAAATTGACCTTGTCTGTGAAGATACCAGCCTAGGACATAACTGCTTTTTGTTAAAGTTTAATTTCAGGCCATCCTTTGTGGTTCCTTTAGGTCTCTGAGTTTGCAAGACGGCCATGCAGGCCTCCTCCAAGCTTGTCAGGTCAGCATGTGGCCCCTTGCGTCCACAAAAGCACAGGCTGTGTCCGATATGTGGGCATGCAAAGTGCCAAACAGGCATCTTGAAGGGCTGGAGGAAGGTCCCCGGGAGGAGGTACAAGGAGCTGGCTGAGTGTCTGGAAAAGGGGTTATAGGGAATGAAATCCTGTGCGCTGCTCTGAAAGGGAGGGGCCTTCATGGAGTTAGGCCTCTCCATGGGGCAGCTCTCTCCCGTTAGAAGAAAACTTCACTTCTCTCAGGGGAGAGAGGCTTGAAGGAATAAGTTAGGCAGAACCCCTGCTTCTATCATAAGAAGCGGAGCCAGTGAGGAGAAAGAGGCTCACAGATTCACTTTCACAGCTGTTTCTTCTTTTTGAGAATTTTTATGAGTTTGAGTCAAACGGAGGACACATGCCAGGGAGCAAGACCTCACATGCTCTCCACTTCACAGCCTCTCTACCCTGATGCACCCGTCCACTCATTCACGCCTTCTGGTGCCAGGTGCTTTGCTGGATGCTGGAGGCACCAGGCCAACACCCCGAGGCTCCTGTTCCTCAGCCTCAGCATTCCCGGCGCTAACCATACAGACCCACAGGCCTCTCCTCAGACCTAGCCTTGGGCTATCAGTGCCTCAGCGCTGATCCCGCTGATCCCGAGAACCTGCCTCACATGGAGCATCCCCGATCTTCTGCAGCCGAAGTTTGCAAACACTGGCTGTTGCCTGTGCCAGCTGCTTTCGAGGCAGCAATGTTTGATTGGATGTGAGGCTGACAGGTGTGCAGCAGATGGAGGATGGGGATCTGCTTCCTCTCCCAGAGACCTCATCCGTCCTTAGGGGCTCCAGCAGGGTGGAAGCGGGGAGGGGGGGGTGGGGAAAGGGGGCGGAGCCTGGTCCCGCCCACTAGCCCCGCCTCCGCTGTCAGCGGCCAGGAAGCCCCGCCCCCGCCGGGCTCGCGCCGCCTCGCCCAAGTCCAAGCCCGGCCTCCGGACTCCTGCCCCCGACCCCCGGCCTGGCAGCCGCCACAACCTCCAGGCGTCCTGCGGAGCGCAGCTTCCACCCCCGAGGGAAGAGCGACATGGCGGCGGCCAAGACCGAGAACCTGTCCCTGGTGGTGCACGGCCCCGGGGACCTGCGCCTGGTGAGGCGGGGAGGGGAGTGGGGAGCCCAGCCCGACCCTGCCCTCCGGCCTCGGAGCCCGGCCGGCCCAGCTCGCCGGTCCCTGCGCGGCCCGGCCCCGCTCCGCTCGGTCCCGGCCGGTCCGATCCCAGTTCGTTACCATGTTGGGGCGGGGGGGGCGGGGGGCGGTTGGCATATGATGCGAGGATCCGGGATGGTGTCGCGCGCCTCCCCTCCCGGAACGGAGCCCGAGGCCCGCACGTGGCCGGAGCCCGGGAAGGTGGCGGGGTGACTGCTAGGACGCCTCTGTCATTGCACTTTTCAGAAGGGCTACCTACCGGGGAGGCTGCCTGGCTTAGCACGTGCCCCTCCCCCTCCCCCCAAATTTCTCTGGGCAGGCAGTGCAGGGCAGAAAGCAGGGCCGGAGGGACGTTTCAAAGCTGCAGAACTCGTATTTAATCCCCCTTGGTTGCAGCTGATAAAGCCTCCTTTGCAGGATTATTGTGATCAGGAGAGCGCCCAGCTCTTTCTGAACTAGGTACTCGGCTCCTTCCTGCTTTCCTTCCAGCACCGCCTGCGCCTCCAGGACTCCTGGTGTTCCCTATGCCTCTGCCAAGCTCCTGGGTCTTGAGAGATTCCATGTCTATAAAACTCCTTTCTGCCTCACCTCCCGTGGTCCACGTCTGGTTCGCTTTTCAGCCTTTTCTCTTTCTGACCCCGCTCCCTGTACCTTTATTTATTTATTTATTTATTTATTTATTTATTTATTTATTTATTTATTTATTTATTTTCCCCCTGTACCTTTAGAAGCATGATGTACTAGTGTATTTTTCTCCTCCACCCAGACCCTGCCTCTGCCCCTGGCTCCTGAGGCCAACGTTTAGGAGCTCAGGGAGTTGCAAAGTCAGCTCTGGGAGTGTGCCAGGGCTCCCAGGACAAAGTCCATCTCAGATGGGCTTAGGGTGGCAGTGGGTAAGTAGGACGGGTGCCAGCCATTTCTTTTGCTCCCTAACACATCCTTCCCCCTCAAAGAGAACACGCATCGCCAGGATCTGGATTGGAGAGAGGAGGACGCTGCCCCTAACCAAGCCATCTGTCTGCTCTAGGGAGACAGAGAGCTGCAGTGACAATACAAGTGTGAGGGCTTTGATGGCGGTCAGAGAGAGTGAAGGCCCCCTGGCCCAGGAAGGAGGTCCGAGAGATGGATGCTGCTTGAACTGATTGTTGAAGCTGTTGATGTAAGAAACATCCGAGAAAACATGTCCCAGGGAAGAAGAAATGAGATTTTGTGCTCTTGAGGTTGGCCTGCTTTAGGAGAGGTCTGAAAGGGGTGTTTTATCTATTAGAAGAAGGGGTCTGAAAGAGTGTTTTTCAAAGGTGTGTTAACCAAGATGAAGAGAAAGAATGAATGGCCAGGGCTTACGTAAGGCAAAGATCAGCCTTTTGCTAAAGTTATAGTCCTAGCTGGTGTGGCTCAGTTGGTTGAGTGAAGTCCCGTGCACCAAAGGGCCCCGGTTGGATGTGGGGCACATGCCCAGGTTGTGGGCTCTATCCCTGTGGGGGTGTGCAAGAGGCTGTCTGATGTTTCTTACAACAATGTTTCTCTCTCTCTCCTTCTCTTGCTAAACTCAACAAAAACTATTTTAAAAAGTTATATACCTGCGGTGTGACTATTCACCATGACTTTCCCAGTTCGGAATTTAGGATCACATCACCCTGTGAGGCTACTTCCCATAGAAGTCCTTTTTCATTTACATTTTCCCCTTCTGGTCATATATCAATGAACAAACTTTTTTTTCTTTTTAAAAATTTTAAAAATATGTATATTTTATTGATTTTTTACAGAGAGGAAGGGAGAGGGATAGGGAGTTATAATAGAAGCATCAATGAGCAAGAAACATAGACCAGCTGCCTCCTGCACACCCCCTACTCGGGATCTGCTTGCAACCAAGGTACATGCCCTTGACCGGAATCGAACCTGGGACCTTTTGGTCCGGAGGCCGACACTAACCACTGAGCCAAGCTGGTTTCGGCCAAACTTTTGTTCTGATTGTGTGGTCAGTCTCCCAGAGCTAGGAAGGCTTGTTCCTAGGAAGTCTCAGAATCTACATTATCTTGAACGCTGGGGATGGAGCAATACCATAACCATGGGATATGGGTTGGAGTGGAATTTTCCCAAAAAGGGAAAGGTAGGTCAATGGAAAGCAGTCAAGTCTTATGGCCTTCATTGTGGGGAAAAAAAAAAAAAAAAAGCACTCTAGATTATTGCTATCTTCTGAACCATTATGACCCAAGGTTTGCCTTCCGATATATATATATTTTTGGCATGTAGTATCGCATTTACATATGCCATGAAAAGAGTATTTACAGTTATTTTACACATGTTCAGTAAACATAAGCAGTGGGACTATGTAGAAAAATCCAGGGAACAAGTATAGGTATTTGTATGAATAACATCATTAGCAAACAGATAAAAACAATCAAATCAGAGTTCAATGACAACCATAGTTATACACCGTTAGTCATCTTGGGACAGCTGTCTACCTCTAATGTCTGCAGCTTCTCATTCTGGAGGAGTCTTTAATGTCCCCTATTAATGCCGGTGTGTGTTTCTTGGCATCTAGAAGGGGTTCAGGAATCTGGAGAAGGTGCTGTGTGTAAATTAATCAAGGATCCAGAGATAAACATAATTTTGGAAGGCATTTGGGGGGCTAGAGGAGCTTGGCTAAAGAAACGAAGTTCTCCCTTGTCTCAGGACCCCTTGCTTTTTATTAACACAAATTGTCCTAAGGCAATGGTCTGCAAACCACGGCTCCTGAGCCACATGTGGCTCTTTGGCCCCTTGAGTGTGGCTCTTCCACAAAATACCATGTGCGGGTGCGCATGTACAATGCAATTGAAGGAGTACCCAAATTAAGTTAATAACAGTGTACCTACCTATATAGTTTAAGTTTTAAAAATTTGGCTCTCAAAAGAAATTTCAATCCTTGTACTGTTGATATTTGGCTCTGTTGACTAATGAGTTTGCCCACCACTACCTCTGGCTGTTCAGGTGTTTGGCCATGAGGAGGCAATAACATGTAGATTGAAATGCCTTCAGCTGTCTGTCAGCAAGCAATCATTTATGCATCCTTTATTCTTTTTTTAAAAAAAAATCATTTAAACTCTAGAAATATTTCATAGACATCGAAGTCAGTTATTAATATGAACTTATTTTTGTAAAACCCAAATAAAATAAAGACATATCTGTTTTTACTTAAATCAAGGAAGTTAGGCTGACTTTTATTTACTAAGGATTAATCTCAGATCACCTGAACTTCAAAGCATGAGTTAGATTCTATATTTATGAGAATTTCAGAATACTCGATCCTCACAATGCTTCACAAACTGTTCTTTTTTCTCACTATGTTTTTTTTTTAATTGTGGATGAAACATCTATTTGTTTAAATGTGCCTCAGGCATGAAACAGCCCTGGCCACCAACACAGGTATCAAGCTAGGGTGAATTGAGGACTATACATCTGCTTTGCCCCCGATTGACATATGAGAAACACCACCAGTCAGTCAGGTGTCTCCTTGCCCTTTGCCAAGGGGTCCTAATATGATTTTATTGATTTCATAGAGAGATAGAGGGAGAGAGAAACATCAAAGATGTGAGAGAATCATTGACCGGATGCCTCCTAAATGCCCCCCACTGCGGATCAAGCCAGAAACCTGGGCATATTCCCTGACCAGGAATCAAATCATGACGTGGTTCATGGGTCGATGCTCAACCACTGAGCCATGCTGGCCGGGTGCTTCACAAACTTTCTGAGATGGACCCATTTATTTATATTGCTACCTTTGGATGTTACATTAATATCAAAATGCTGTAAACATTTCTAAAGCTCCTTAGTTTATGTCCACATTGCATCACATACCAGTAAAAGTTCATCTCCCTAATTCCTGATAGCCAGCTCTACCAGGTTTTAGGCACAAGCATCTGGATAGGGAGAACAGGAACAACACAGTCCTCATGTCCAGGGAGCTTAATGCCCTGGAGACTTATCTATAGAATTTACATGTATCTCTCCAGGCATTGATGCACGCCTGAATATTTTATAATTAGCTGTATGTGAAGAGAACAAGTTGAAGGGGAAATAATTTGAGGATTTTGGGTTGATCTTAATTATAAAGAGCAGAGACAGTTATGTGTCAGGATCAAGTTTAAACATTAATGAGTTCCATGAAGATTTGAGTTGCTATTATTTCTGTCTTTTGAACTTTGTCATACTATCAGCTTTCTTAACATTTGTTATTCATTGTGGTTTTATTTTTCATTCTAAATAAATAATCAGTTCTGTACCTAAAAGAAAGAATAATTGTCTAGTAAGTTCATGTATGGCTATGTTCACACGTTTTGAATTAGGAGGAAATTATTTTTCAAGCCTATTTATTTATCATAGCTAAGAATTAAATGATCCTTTAACCATCCTTGAACCATCCTAGGTGCTGGGGAAGCTCAGAGAGGAAGGGGTTACCTTCCCAGCTACTGAGGATAGAGAAGCCTCGCAGGTTTTTGTTTCATTCTGAGTTCACGATTCATGCCTATTGGACGGCCCACCTGAATGTCCCCAAACACCAAAATCCCAACATATCCAAACCTTTATCTCCCCCAATTCCCACAGGAATTAAGAAGTCATCCCAAATGCCTCTTTTCCCCTCACTTCCCTCCTCATGTGGAATCTTGAAGAAGGAGAGGGTTAGGGTTAATCAACCAGGGTGAAATGGTTCCTGGGAGGTAAGCAAATGAGCACAGAGTGAGTTTGAGAATTCAGAAGGCTTGGAGCACTGACAGCTGGACTGGAGACTGGCTGAGTGGACTTTGGGAGAGTGCTGACCCTTCTACTTTGACCCCATTTGCCCGGACCAATGCCAAGAACAAAGCCTCTTATGACAAAATGGCCAACTGGAAACCTTTGGATTTTCCTCCCACCCTCAACACACCCCTTAGGCATTCTAAGGGAGGAAAATTGACGAGGCAGGAGAGCAAAAATAAGGCCTCCTGCTCTGCTTTCCCTAAGTGTGCAGGATAGTCAGCCAACTGGTTGACAGGAGACCTGGCTGGTGGGAGAAGGTGGGCTTTGAGGACCTGGGGCAGGTGACTTCCTTCCAGCCATGCCTGCTGCCCCTCACTCTGAGGCAGGGGGTGTGGCTTTACGTCTTATCTACAATTGATAGAATGAAGCCTAAAACATTGCTGGCATCTTACCTCATATCCATATCCCAGCCTTGAAAGGAGCAGTCAAGTTCTCTAGTCGTGACATGGAATCAAGGGAAATACAGTCCAACTAGGCATGGCTCAGTGTGCGCAGACCTATGATCCAGGAGATCGTGGTTCAATTTCTGGTCAAGGCACATGCCCTGGTTGTGGGCTCGACCCCCCAGTGGGGGCCTTCTCTGGTCAATGATTCTTTCTCATCATTGATGTTTCTATCATTCCCTCTCCATTTCTGAAATCAATAAAAAAAATTTTTAAAATAAATAAAACAAATAAAATACAAAAACAAAAAAAAGAAAGAAAACAAGTGAAATACAACTTTCCTCCAAAACAACATCTTTACCCTTTCAAAAGGAAAAGGACAAGGAAGGATGTCCAGAGCTGGTTCAACCATACGGGGAGCTAATTATAGGAAAAGAACTTTGATTTTCGTTCTTTTGTAATAAGCTATCTTATTTACTCTTAGTGCCCTCACTTTCATCCTCTGTTTAATTAAGATAATCATAAAAGGGTACTCTCTTTTATGTTATCTTAATTAAACAGAGGATGAAAGTGAGGGCATGAAGAGGTTATGTAATGACCCTGAGGTCACAGCTGGCGGCAGGGAGCCTGGGTTTGTACATGGACAGGCAGCTCGAGGGTGTGCACTGCGCCACTCAGGTTTGTGGAGGAGGGAAAAGGCATCTTCCTCCCATTTCTTTCTCATGTGGAGGCCAGTGCTACAAGCCATGCAAAATACTATACTGAGGGTGTGAACTCAGATGCACAGGTGGAAGTAGAGGAAAGGGGACTATTAAAATATATCTGGAGGCCAAAACCGGTTTGGCTCAATGGATAGAGCATCGGCTTGGGGACTGAAAGGTCCCGGGTTCGATTCCGGTCAAGGGCACGTACCTTGGTTGCGAACATGTCCCCAGTAGGGGGTGTGCAAGAGGCAGTTGACCGATGACTCTCTCATCAATGTTTCTAACTATCTCTCTCCCTTCTTCTCTGTACAAAAATCAATAAAATATATTTAAAAAAAAACAAAACAAAGCAAAAAAATTATATCTGGAAACATATTTAGGCTAATTTGAGAAAATGTATTTAGGGAAGGCAAGATAACATTTAGGATGCTAGAGGCACCTGAGATGATTCCATGTTCCCACAATATTTCCATGACTTATTTATTCAGGTATTGGTGGTGGTGGGTGGGTGGAGGTGAGGGTGGGAGTGGAGTAAATGGGAAGACCTCAAGGGGATAGAAGGAAGAATATGTATGTAAACCATGACTGAAAGTGAAAAAATGCTGAAAAACTGACATAACTACAATGAAGATCAATTAGTTACTCAGTTCATCTCCTTGTTACTATCACTCACGGGTGAGAAATTAGGTTTAGGAAACCTTGACTGTGCCTGATTGGGCCGTGGGAATAAGAGTGCAAGTTCCAGATATCAGAGGAACTAAGGAACTTTGATAAATGAGAAACAGGACAAATGAGAGAATATCACCATTCAATCCTGAGAAAGAAAAGGAGATTGAGTAAACAGGATTGTAGCTAACATCACCAACACAAAGCAAGGAACCATGAACAAAAAGCAAGGTTTTGTTAGTGGCCATGCTGTGATAACTTTCCAATACACTGAGCTCCACAGCTAGGCTTGGGATGATACTTAGCGACTTAAGGGCAGGTCTTTAGCATGGTCTTGTGCTCAGGTGGCATGTCTCCTGCTGAGAGGGGAGTCAGGAGCCACGCTGAGTTGTAAGGGTGATGAGAGTCAGCAAGAAAAAGGGCATACAAGGAAAGTTGGTTTATGGGGAAAGGTATTTAAATTCTCAAAGCCCAAATGACATGGTTCAGTAGTTGAGCATCAACTTATGAACCAGGAGGTCATGATTTGATTCCCTGTCAGGGCACATGCCAGGGTGGCGGGCTCAATTCCCAGTGTGGGATGTGGAAGAGGCGGCCAATCAATGATTCTTTCTCATTGTTGATGTTTGAATCTCCCTTCATTTCTGAAATCAAGAAAAAATATATTTAAGAACATATTTAGGCTAATTTGAGAAAATATATTTAGGGAAGTGAAGAGGCACCTGAGATGATTCCATGATCCTACAGGGATATGGAAAATATATTTAAAGAATAATAATCGCCTTGTGTCCAGAAAGTGTTCTGCTGAGAAGGAAAATCCAGGCTATTGGCGCAGCACCTAGTGTCTGGGAAGGTCAAAGCTGGTCTGTAGTAGTCAATATTTCCAATAGTGGTGTCTAGTGACACTTAGGGCCTGCTCCGTGTGCCCAACAGTTGCTGGAATCTTACCCCCCCCCCCCCACACACACACACACACACTCAAATGGGTGTTCAGGTCTAGCCTGGCTGGAAGCAAGCTACGAGGGGTGTGGCTGAAGAATTTTCTCTGGGCCTGAGAAGTTGCCTACTAGTGCCTTTAGGGGGCAGAATAGGATGCATTTCCACGTTTGAAATAAAGGCCTGTTTTAACCTACAGTTTAAAATTTCACTCAGTATCATAGAAACAGCTATACAGCAGTCCCTGGTGTTGTGTAATGTCAGCTGTGGGACCAGCAACTTCTTTGAAAAAGATTTTGGTGATTGCTATCCTGAGTTGCCCATTTCTAAATGGATTCTCTATCCCCTTCTTACCCTCCTTTCCTCTCTTCCTCCCTCCCTCCCTCCCTCCCTCACATCTGTCTTCCTTCCTTGCAGATGTAGGCAGTTTAAATTATTAAGAGATGAAAAACCGCCTTGAGCCCCTTTGCCCACATCAGGCTGCTTTGGATGCAGCCCCACCAGTTACTACCTTAGCGTTCCCATGGGCAGTTTGCTAAGTCTCACCCTTCTCAGTCTCAGCATATGGAAAATGAGATAATAACAGAAGGTACCACACCGGCTGTCATGAGGGTTATACAAGGTGATACATGTACAGCACTTAGCACAGAGCCTGATACAAAGCAATTGGTCAGCATTAGCATGATCACTTGGGACTTTGTTTTCCTGGAGGCAAGGAGTTCAAATTAGCACTGAGCTACTTCAACAGAAAGGGCTGGTAATCTGAGATGAGCGAGAACCTCGGACCTCCCATGGAAACACCGTTACAGAGAATAGATATGTAACCAGTATAAGAAACCAGGTTTGGGGCAGAACACTAACTGGTTCTGAAGAGATTGAAGGCACGGTCTTTGGCATTAAGGTTATCATCTTGTTAGCTAAATAGCCCCATGTTGTGTATTGCTGCCTATAAAAGCATCCTGGGAAGCTTTCAGCAGGAAAGCTTTGAGTAGTGTCCCTCCCAGAGTGCTCTGTGTGTGGCCCAGTGCCCATCTCTTCACCCAATGGATGGCTCCTTTGCACCACCACCCCTGAAGGAGAAAAGGCGTATTTCACCTTGGGGGTGCAGTGGGATGCACTGAAGCAGCCTTGGAATCAGACTCACCTGGGGCTAGCCCTGACCTGTCCACTCCGGCAGTATGATTTTGACCGAGTTATTGAACTTCCCAGCCTCAGGTTTCTCATCTGCAAATGATGGGCTTTGGTGAGGACCATGTGCCATGATAAAGCCCAGAACACTGTCTGGCACATAGTAGGTGCTGTGAACATTTCATATCCTTTCTTCCTCTTTTAGGCTGCATTCAAAGACTCCTATATGAGAAAGAGCTAATATGCTAACTACACGGATGGCAGAACAACCTTCCGGAATGACCAGTGGGTAGGGGATGGGGCCTCGGAGGCCTACCCTTGCACGAATTTCATGTATTGGGCCTCTAGTTAATAAAATAACCACTTGGATTTGCCCACTCGCTGTCCTTCCTCATCACTAGGAATTTCCTAGCCAGTTGACATTGAGGGAAAATAAATAATAATAATAATAGCTGTATCCTAGGTGGGCGGCTCCGTTGGTTGAAGCATCGTCCCAATCTGCCAAGTTTGTGGATTTGATCTCCAGTCAGGACACATACAAGGATTTATTGGTTAATAAATACATACATAAATGGGACAACAAATCAGTTTTTCTCTTTTTCCCTTCCTTTCTCTAAAAGAAATAATAGCCGTGAACACCGAACTAATCAGATTGCTTTTTGAATCTGTGAACAGGTCCCATGTATTCCCAAGGACCTCTCACACTCTGGGCCACATGTTGGTCTGGGCCCTGTGTACAGGGAAAAGAGCAGCCACACACTTCTCCAGCCCTGGGAGCTGCTCTCATGTAGCTGCTAGAAACGCATTCAAACTTTCCCTGCCCACGTTAGCCAGGCCAAACAAATCTGTATCTGTGTTTTCAGGAGGGAAGGATGTGATGAGGAATGCAGCTCTAGGTGGCAGCCCAAACATGCTTTCACCTGGGGACGCACACAGCACGCTGTTCTTTGAGTCCCAGGCAAAGCCATCGTTGAGTGATGTGAGGGCAGCGCTATTCCATGCAGCCCCCTGGCAGCCACCCAGCAACAGTCTGGCCTGAGCCTGCGTTAACTCCAAAAAGGAACATTTGAATGAAACTCCACTTTACTTTTTTTTTTTTTTTTTTAATGAGAATGTTCATAAGGTAAATTTATTATGCATGCTAAGTGATTTTTCTGTTTTATTTTCTTTAGGAGAACTATCCTGTTCCTGAACCAGGCCCAAATGGTAGGTCCTTGGGATATTCAACATATCTTCTTATTTCCCCTGGAGACACATGGGCATTGCTTCCTCACCCTCTCCTGCTACAATTGACATTTTTGCCTCTATTTAAAGCTATGCTCTTGTTAGGCTCCACCTCCCCCACCTTCCACAGCATGACTGGATACACGCCACTTGGCCAATGCAATAAAACAGACAGTGATAGAATGAGAAGAATTACCATATCAGACTGCTGGCTTGTCCCAAAGAGTGTTGGGCATAACACATCTTATGGACCAAAAGCAGAATTGTTCTTTTGACTTTGGGATAAGCCATTATTTGGCTGGCTGAATCCAAATGTTGAAAAGGAATGAGACTGCAGAACTTAATGTTTGGTCAGAAAAGGGAGTATCCTGCCAGGAAGGCCAGGACCTGTCCAGTGGGGATGGGAGGGGCTGCATGGAACCCTGCCCCGTTGCCCTTAACCATCCGGGTGCCAAAAGTGGGTGTGCATGCCGGGGCAGGGTTCCACCACCTTTGTTTCACTCTATCTAGCCTCTCACTGTGCCAGCCAGTGGCCGAGATGACACATGTTTCCTGGGTGGTGTCTACCTGGGCAAGGCATGCCACCCTATTGACTAAGGTAGATCCCTGCTGACAGTTTTCCAATCCCTCCCGTCCCTGGAGTTTCCACTTCGTGATCTGCCAGTAAGGCTGAGAACAAGGCACAGGGCATCTGCAGATAGCTTATCTCACATCCAGCCGGTCAGGTCCCCTTCCTGTCCTTGATGAGTTGGGTTATGCTGTCCCACCTTACCCCACCCCTGTAGCTTCTGGGAAAGCATCAGATTGAAGGAAGCTTTCCTGGCGTTCCTAGAGCTTTGCTACTCAAAGGTCAGTTAGGTTATTGGTTTTCAGACAAGAGCCATTTCTAGCAGTATTTAGCAAGTAATGTATATTTAGGACTTATGTGTTTTCACCAAGATATCACTGTTAGAGGAGTGAAAGAGACAACTCGCTGTGTCCTGAAAAGTTGGTGTTGATTCTAGAGGTGGCCAAACAAGGGCTGCCTTTGACTCAAAGGATCCCGGCTGCTTTTCTCCTGGAGGCAACATTCTGCTCTCACTTTCTTGCCTCTTGCTATCCTTGAATTGGAAGGTGAATCAATGGTACATTTCAGCTAGAGTTCTAGCAAGTCAGTTTTTAAAAAAATGTTTTTATTGGTTTGAGAGAGAGAGGAAGAGAAGAGATAGAAACATTAATGATGAGAATCATTGATTGGCTGCCTCCTGCACACCTCTACTGTGGATTGAGCCCTGATTGGGAATCAAACGTCACCTCCTGGTTCATGGATTGATGCTTAACCACCAACCACACCAGCCAGCTGGGCTAGCAAGTCCAATTTAACCTCTTATAACAAATTGGTAACTTAAAGAGAGGAAATTCTGAGATAATTTTTCTAACTCAAATGACTTTTCCCTTCCTTAGATTTCAGAATTCACCCCGCCATTTCTTACTATGTTCACCTAAACTAAAAGTGGCGAAAGTTTTACAAGGTCACACCTGGTGGGTCACCTTAGGTGGGTGGCAAGGACAGTGTAAGACACCTGGGTGCACAGCGCAGCTTTGGGTCTCTTTGTTTTTCTCAGGGAGATACTTGTAACATGGTCATCTCAGACTAGACCAGTAATCCTTTAGGAGTTGTTTTAGCAAAGAGGTGCAGAAGCATCATTATTTTAAAATTGGAAAACGGACAACAATAATACCACCAAATCTCACTATAGTCAAACCTGTGAAGGCTGAAATGCCAGTTGAAATATTTGAGTGGCTTAAATTAACACTACCTGCTGTTAACAAAACAACAGGCGTGAAAACATGGCTTGGCAGCTCCTGAATGTTGCCACGCCTAGATTCTGCCAGCCTCCCTTTCGTGAGAGGCCCAGTCTATTAATTATCTCGTAACAGTTATGTCCTAGAAAACAGTTTTTTCTCTCATATAATTAATGAATTTCTTCCTCCTAATAATATCTCAATTATGCAGTGTGTTGGCATTCTCCATATAAACTGAACTGAGAGAGATTAGTTATATAGATTTATTATATTACATGTATACAGAGGGTAGGGGGAAGGTCTTTTTTAAAGAATTGGCTCACATGATTATTAGAGCTGGAAAATCAGAAGTTTGTAGGGCTGACAGCAATCTGGAAATTCAGGTAAAATTTCACAGTCTTGAGCTTCAGAAAACCTCAATCTTGTCTTTTCGTTTTAAGGACTTCAACGGATTGAATGAGGCATATCCACATTATGGAGAGTAGTCTGCTTTATGCAAAGTCTAATGATTTAAGTATTTGTTTTTTAAAGTTCAGGTCTAATTGATATACAACATTATTATGTTAGTTTTGGGTGATCAACATAATGATTCAGTATTTGGGTCTATTGTGAAATGATCACAATGTCTAATTAACATTCATTACTTCATGTAGTTACAGTTTTTTCTTATGATGAAAACTTTTATGATGTAAGCTCTTGGCATCCTTCAGATAACACTGGATTATTAATTACAGTTGCTGTGCCGTACATTAGATCCTCATGACTTATTTCACAACCAAAAATTTGTGCCTTTTGACTTTCTTCATTCATTTCATCTATTCCCCACCCCCATCCCCACCACCCCCCCCCCGCCTCTGGCAACCACCAATCTGTTCTGTGTATCTGTGAGCTTGTTTTCTTTCTTCTTCTTGTTTCTGTTTTGTTTTGTTTTTAATTCTACAATATCATATTAGTGAGATCATTTGGTATTTGCCTCTTTCTGTCTGACTTACTTCACTTAGCATGACGCCCTGACGGTCCATCCACGTTGTCGCAAATGGCAGCATGTCCTTCTATATGGCTGAATAGTAGTCTATTATGTATATGTACTACATTTTCTTTATCCATTTGCCCATTGATGGACACTTAGGTTGTTTCCATATCTTAAATATTGATCATATCTGAAAAATACCTTTACAGCAATATCTAGTGATTGACCCAACAACTGGGCACCATAGCCTAGCCAACTTGACACGTAGAGTTAACCCTCATGCAGTTATTTCACTCTGTGGAAGCTTTCTTGTCTTGCAAGACTCAATCTGGGTTGCTATTAAGCTTGCCCTCCTCTGTGGCCTAAATTTTGTACCTGGCCTTTGAAGCCAAGCTCTCTCCTTCATCTAGAGCAGTGTTTCCCAAACTTTTGACATCTGTGTACCCTTTCTATAATTTTCGTAATGCTGAGTACCCCTTGTACTCATGAGAATGTAGAATTAGGCGCAGCTAAGCATGGTGCAGTGCATATCCCCACCAAACTCTTCCCATACCCCTAGGGGTACGCGTACCACACTTCAGGAAACACTGATCTGGAGAATCGCCAGGGTGCCTCAGGGTGATAGAAGGGTTGTTCCCTCCCTCACTTGCTTTCTCCTTCTCCTTTTTCTTATCAGAGGTGCTGCTGAAGATGCATTCTGTTGGAATCTGTGGCTCAGATGTCCACTACTGGCAGCATGGTCGAATTGGGGATTTTATTGTGACAAAGCCAATGGTTCTGGGTCATGAAGCTTCAGGAACAGTCGTAAAAGTGGGGTCATTGGTAAAGCACCTACAACCAGGTGAGCAAAGCCCCTTCAGCTAATGGATCAATTTATTCATTCAACATCAATGTCTGTGCATGCTTTCTCAGGGTCAGGCTCTCCATTAAACACCGGGATGCAACAGTCAACAAGACAGCCTTGATCCCGAAACACATGTTCCTTAACCTTCCACAGTGGGAGACAGAGCTGGGACACACAGATAGTTACTTAATTACAATCATGTTGAAGACAGCAGAGAAGAACACAGGGTGTAATTGGTGTATTTCACTCAGACCCTGGCTTATCTGAGAAATGGATAATTAAGCCAATCAGGCAAGTCAGAAATAAGCCAACCGGGGAGGGGAGGGGGGGTGTTCCAGGCCCACGAACCACAATATGCCTCCACACACTAAGAACCAGGGCCTGCAGAGCAATCTTTGATTTTATTGGATGGCTAGGAAACCACCAGTTTGTTTCTAGATATGCTTAATTCATGCTCTCAAAGGGAGGAATTCTCGGCTGTAGTAGACTATGATATGTTCCCCAACACAGTGAAATAAATCCAAGCTGTCTGGGCATAGCTAGCTATTGGCTTTAACCTTCCTCTTCTGAAGAGGCCACTGTATAGTCTGGAGATGCTGTCAGATTATTTGGAGGAAGAGGAGGTTGGTAGAGGTGCCGTCCTATGTTAGTTAGAAAGCTCTCTGAGCCCAGTTACAAGGTTCTGAAGAAGCTAGACTTGTGTCTCATTCAGGAAAGTTAAGTCAGGCCCTCCATCATCGGTAAAGTTGAGAAACCCCCTGGATTTTTTTCAGGATTCTTCCAGTGTGCAAGGTGCATAGCTTCTAGCAGTCACTGATTGGTTCTTATAAATATATGTCATATCAAGAATTGTGTGCGTGGGCGGGGAGGAGGAGGGAGGCGGGGTTTGTCACCTCTAAATTTAAGTTATAACAGGTGCTTAGTCAGTGTCCACAATAGATCCAGCCTGTACCAGGTGCTTTGAGGGCTATAGAAAAAGGAGAAGATAAGATCCTTGGATGCTTTGATCTACCTGGGGAGACCAGACATCACTATATATATATATATATATATATATATATATATATATATATATATACCAACAGTTAGAGAACAAGACCATAGGGTGAAGTGGTGAAATCAGTAAAGAATGGGCTCTAGCCAAAGCTGGTTTGGCTCAGTGGTAGAGCGTTGGTCTGCGGACTGAAAGGTCCCAGGTTCGATTCCGGTCAAGGGCATGTACATTGGTTGTGGGCATGTCCCCAGTAGGGGGTGTGCAAGAGGCAGCTGGTCGATGTTTCTCTCTCATCGACATTTCTAGCTCTCTATCTCTCTCCCTTTCTCTCTGTTAAAAATCAATAAAATATATTTAAAAAAGAAAAAAAGAAAAAAAAGAATGGGCTCTAGAAGTTCAAAAAAAGGGCATTTGTCATGGACACAGTTGTGTCAAGAAAGCTCATGGAGGAGATAGGTCTTTCTTTGAGCCAGACATTTAATAAAAATATTATGAACCCTAGCCGGTTTGGCTCAGTGGATAGAGCATTGGCCTGCAACCAAAGGGCCCCAGATTTGATTCCTGTCAAGGGCATGTACCTTGGTTACAGGTCCCTCCCTGACCCAGGCCCTGTTTGGGGCAGGTGCAGGAGACAACCAACTGATATGTCTCTCTCCCTTTCCCTCTCTCTTCCGCTCTCTAAGAACCAATGGGAGCATATCCTTGGGTGAGGATTAACAAACAACAAAAAATAAAAACAACAACAACAAAACCCACAATAATAATTATAAGAAGGCAGAGAACATTTATTGATTTAATATTGTTATTCTCCATGTTAAATACCCATAACATTACTTACTTTGTTCTTTAAACAACTCTACAAGATAGGCATTATTTTCCTCATTAACAGATGAAGAAAGTGAAGCATGGCGATTGCCTAGGTCATACACTAGTTAGTCTTAGAGCTAGGATGCCTGCCTTGGTCTTTCTGACTCTAGAAAAAGTGTACAGTCACTGGGATGCCCAGAATGTGGAGACTTGAGCAAGGTTTTGTATTTGAATTTCTAAAGAGATCAGAAGCTAATGTTCCAGTTAAGAGGAGCAGCATAATAAAATTGCAGAGGCAATTATTAATAAGCTCTGTGCTACTCAGAGCAAAGGTTCTGTCTTGGATAGTTAGTAGAGATGATAATTTTCATAATCTATACAAAAGTTCCTCTTTAAAAGGCACCATACAACTGTGAGTTGTATTGTTATTATATAATAATTACAAAACAAAACTGAATAATATCAACTTCACCTAATTATGGAAGATCTTGAATACTAAGTTGAAGAATTCATTGTCAGTGCTAGAAGCATAGTCTGCAGAAAGTTCATTGGGCAGCAGAGAAAGTAGAGGGCTTAGAAGGAAGAGAGATATAGGTAGATCACATCTTAGTGGTCACAGGGATTGCTGGGGGCACCGGTTTTTTTTAGAATAAAAACTTTTATTTAATTGTTTCATTTGCTAACTTTGATTTAAAGCTCTAATCAACTAATCTAGAAAGAATAAAACCACTCATTGAGAAGTTCTTGATATACTTATTTATAAAATTTAAACATACATATTAAAGAATCAGTAAATCTAAGGCATTAAAGAATTCCTAATTTATATACAATCAGGCCATCTCTCTTTTTAAAAAGTATATTATTTTATTGGTTTCAGAGAGGGGGAGACAGACAGAAACATCAATGATGAGAGAGAATCACTGATCAACAACTGCCTCCTGCACGCCCCCCCCTCCCTCCCCACTGGGGATCGAACCTGAAACCCGTGCATGTGTCCTGACTGAGAATCGAACCTCAGCCTCCTGGTTCATAGGTTGATGCTCAACCACTGAGCACCCCGGCCTGACCACCAACACTATTTTAATGAGCACTAACTGCATACATGGACTCTACACTATTCTCTGGGTACTTTTAACACAAAAGATAGAAGAAATGGCCTAAGTATCACCGCTTAGCAAACCTCCTAGGGCTCTTCTGTCTGCTAACAACACATCGTTCAGGCTCAGGAGGGTCCTCATACCACTAGTACACCCCTCTTGGGGTGGGACTGGGGATTGATGGAAGGAACACAAAGGAATGGCATGTCCAAGACAGTGACGTTCTGTATCTTGACAGGAGTTCACATCACACAGGTGGATGCATCTCTCAAAATTTATCTAGCGGTCCACTTACCATTTGTGCATTTCATCTATATCAAAATTTCATCTTAAGAAAGAACCATAAACAAGTATTGAACTCTACGTAGTTAATGCTATGCAGGCTGAAGTATTTAAAGGTGAAGTGTACTAATGTCTGCATCCTATTTTGAAATGTCACCAGAAAAGATGGATAGGTGGGATGGATGGATGGGTATGTGATAAAGTGAAGGTTGCTCAATGTAAATGGGAGAATCTGGGTGGAAGATATCTGGGTGTTCACGGCACAGGTCTTTCAACTTCGCTATGTGCTTAAAATTTTTCCTAATGGGAGAGAAGAGCAATTCCAATGCTGGGTTTCCAAGAAGACCCAGGAAGACACAGAGAGGAAGTACGATAGAACGGGCGGTTCACAAGCCTGAGTGTCACTCTCCGCTGTGCCTCTGCGGGTCGTTCGCCTTAATGCTTCTGCTAACCAGGATCAGGTGGTTCCTAGTTACTGTCTAAACACAACCAGACTGTACGGCTTTTGTGAGGGCCTTGCCTCGTGTGTTTTCAAAACAGGTCAAGAAAAAAAAATGTCTGCAAACTCCACGCACTAGCTACCTCTTTTGCAGCAGTGTGAGACACGAAGTGGAGCTGTCTTGCCCCTCCACAGCACCTCTGTGCCTGCTCCTGTTCTCCTCTCCAGGTGATCGTGTTGCCATCGAGCCCGGAGCTCCCCGAGAAATCGATGAGTTCTGCAAGATTGGCCGGTACAACCTGTCACCAACCATCTTCTTCTGTGCCACGCCCCCCGATGATGGGAACCTCTGCCGCTTCTATAAGCACAACGCCAGCTTCTGCTACAAGTTAGTGCCCAGCCCAGCCTTGCCACCTGGGACCTCTCTCCCTTCATTTGTTTGGTGTTCTTTCTCCCACTTTGTTCTCTTTAGCTCTTCATTCCAGGCAGGAGGCATCTCTATGCTGGGCCTGCTCTCCTGGGGGCATGGAGGGAGGGCAGCCTGACTAGCACTGAGACTGACCCTCAGTGCTTGGTTTTAGTCTCTCAGGCTAACCTTCCCTCACCCAGAGCAGCAATAGAAAATGGTCATTCACTCCTTCCCAGCCATCCTGGTGATAACTTGTTGTGGTTTACCTTCCATTATTGGTTTCCACTGCGGCTGCAGAAGGGAGTTCTTTTTTTTTTTTTTCTTTTAAAATATATTTTATTGAGTTTTTACAGAGAGGAAGAGAGAGGGATAGAGAGTTAGAAACAGGTAGATGAGCTGTCTCCTGCACACCCCCTACTGGGGATGTGCCCGAAACCAAAGTACATGCCCTTGACCAGAATCGAACCTGGGACCTTTCAGTCTGCAGGCTGATACTTTATCTACTGAACCAAACTGGTTTCGGTGCAGGAGGGAGAACTGTTAACAGCAATGGCCTTGTAGGGGGCTTACTGAGGAGGCCTGGCAAGGAGCCCGCACATGACTTTGGGGCCCTGATTCACTCCCGCCTAGTGAGTAACTTTGGGGAAATGACTTAACTTTCCTCTGCTTTAGTCTTATTTAATCACCAGGTGATTAGGTGATTAAATAAAACAATGCTCATAAAGTCACAATTATTATTAACTTGTGCCTCAGTGCTAGTAAGTGCTTTGCATACCTATCTTATCTCTGCGAGGGCAGTGATAAGGTGGCTGCAGGTGTTTGGCCGGGTTTATTTATTTATTTCTTTTTGTTTGTTAATTCTCACCCGAGGATATTTTCCCATTGATCTTTTAGAGAGAGTGGAAGGGAGAGGGAAAGACAGAGAAACATCCATGTGAGAGAAACACATCCATTGGTTGCCTCTTGCTCGCACCCCAACCAGGGCCCCTGGCCAGGGAGGAGCCTGCAACCAAGGAACTCGAGACCCTTCGGTCCATAGGCTGATGTTCTATCCACTGAGGCAAACCAGCGAGGGCCCGGTTGTGCGGTCCATTGCAAAGGTTAGCAGAGGCAGGAGGAGGCAAACAGACTTGGCACAGAGCAGAACCAGGAGTCAAGCTGTGATGCTTGAACTCCTCCCGCCCTGTGCTCACTGCCTGACCCCAGCATTCGAAGTGGCTTTGGGGTGAGAAGTTGTGACTGGCTGGCAGAAGCAGAGTGCTGCACCTCCTACCTGGCCCCCAGCCCATGGAGCTCTGGGGCGCCGATGTGCCACTTTCCTTCTGATTCCTCCCGCCCCAGCCCGGCCCCAGCCGTGGCTCTGTCAGCCAGGATGGGGCTTGTCCAGTGGAGGCCTAATGCCACTCACAAGGGCAGTCTGACAGATCTGAGTTTTCAAGTGACCACTGGAACCCTTGAGGGGAGTCACAGGCTGGAGACCTCATGACGAGTTTAATTAAGTCAACATCCAAACCTGCTCTAGAAGAAAAAGCAGGCTTTGTGGGCAGAGTCCACTTCTCAGCAAGTGGTTCCAGAACCACCTTTCCTGGGCCCTTTCCAGCTCAGGGCGTCGAACAAAGTTCTTGTCGAAGGCAGAAGAACAAAGAGGTAAAGCTCGAAACTAACCACTAATCTCTGCCGTTTACCAGCAGCGTGACCTTGAACAAGTTACTTAAACTTTGTAAACTCTGATATCCTTGCCTGGGAAATGGAGATGATAATAGAACCAATAAAATGCATAGAATTATTGACAGGATTTAATGCGAAAGGCATATAGAGTGCTCAGCATGAGTCCCGGCACAAAGGAATTGCTCAATAAATGGTGCCATCACATGTCATAGCCATGGCCTTGAGTCCAGGGGTTAGGACGGGGTTAGCCTGAAAGAGAGCCTTGGGCTGGGGAGGGGGGAGGGGTGCTTTGTAGGGAAAGCTGTGGGAGGGCGTTCTGGCTGGCAGTGGTGATGGGAGGAGGGAGGAGGGCCTCCAGGGGATATGCAGCCCCTGCCTCTCCTCTCCTCCCCGGGTAAGTTCTGGCTGTGTCCCCAGCCTGTGGGCCCAAGCCCTTCTCTCTGGTTTCTCTACCAGTCTCTTTATTTTCCTACCCACCTTGTTCAGCTTATCTTCCTGCTTCCTCCTTGGCTTCTAAATGATTCTTTAACCCTTTGCCTGTTCCTTGAACCCTATTGTGAGAACCACCAATTGCCGTGTCATTCTCTGGTGTTTATAGTCATGAAAGATTGGGGAAGGATGACCCGGTAACTCTCTCAAGGTCGGTGGCAAAGGGGCTGAGCCCCAGGACTCCGCCTGGTGCTTCTGCCTCCACGCTGCTGGGTATGGGTGCATGCGTGATGTCGCCCAGATAGCAGTCCTCTCTTAGCACCGTCCCCAGCCCCTCTCCTCTGTGTTCTCATTCCAAAGGGAGTGAAGAGGAGAGGAGAAGCACACAGCTCCTGACCAAAGGCCACCCTCAGCTTAGCTCCAATACAAGCTTTGGGAAGGCCCAAATGGGAAAGGCAGGTGTGTCTGAGGGAGTGTGGTCGGCAGTCCGTGAGAGTTTGGGAATTTTCATTATTCCATTTTAAGCTCTTTTTTTTTTTTTCCATATAGAGTTGATGGGGTGAGTAGAAGGGGCGATGACAGCATTCAGAGCAGGAGGGTGGATAGGAGTGGGATAGGAAATGAAGTGAGAGAAGCAGAGGGGAGGGAAGGGAAGGAAAGGGTGGTGAGTGGCAGCCAGGCCACGTGCAGGCCTTGCTATTTATTCTTTGGGGATCGTGAACAATGACAGAAGGTCGTGGGGATGAGCACATGGTTTGGCTGCGGCTATTATTTCTTTTTGGAACTTGAGGGTTTTCTTTCTTTTTAAGATTTTTTTTTTTTTTTTTTTTTTTTACTTATTTTTACAGAGAGAGGAAAGGAGAGGGAGAGAAACATTGATGTGATAGTGCAACGTCAATTAGCTGCCTCCTGCTTACCCACTACTGGGGATCGAACCCACAACCCGACCATGTGCCCTGATCGAGAATAGAACTGGCAACTTTTCTGTGCATGGGACAATGCCCAACCAACTGAACCACACCAGCTAGGGCTGAGACTTGAGGGGTTTGTTTTTTTGTTTGTTTTGTTTTGTTTTGGGGGGGTTGTTTTTTTTTAATTTATTTTTATTTTTTTAACTTGAGGGTTTTTATGTGGAGTTTTTTTAGACACTGACTAAATCAATACTGGAGGGTTAAGAACTAGCAGAAATTAAATATTAACTGCAGAGCTGTTTGTACCCAGAGTCAGCTAATAATGGGGCTGGCAGAGAATGTGGAATCAGGAGCCCTGGGTTCAAACCTTGCTTTTCCACTCGCTAGCGTTTTAACCTTGGGCAAGTCTCTTAATGTCATGGAGCTTCAGTGTTCTCTTGTGTAAAATAAAGGTAAAAAAAAATAAAATAAAGCCTGTCTTTCTCACCTGACAAGGTCATGGTGAGGATTAAATGAGATAATGGATGAGAAAGCTGGCTAACCTGTAAAGCCTTAGGCAAATGTTTGCTGTCATCCTCAGTAGGATGGTTAAAAGGATCAAGAAACCAGTGGGCTTGGAGGTGAAAACCGAGAACCCCCGTGGTGAGGGAAGGTGACGCAGCATTGAACCAGCTGCGTGCAGACAGGCGCTTTCCCCGCCTTACCCAGGCCCGGGACAGCTGCCGCCATCCGATTCCGACCTGGCTCTTCTGGGACGTGTGACGGGGAGACAATGAGCAGAGTGACGCCAGCTTCTAAGTCACTGTTTTTCAAATCTGCCGATAGTCGGGATTGCTTGAGAGAGGAAAAAAAGAGATGCTGGGCTGTAGCTTATATCTGATTTAAATTTCAAATCCTTTGAGCCTCTCACTAGTATTGAACGTTTAGAGCAAGTTATTTAATCCTCCAAGCCTCAGTTTCTTTGTCTGTAAAATAAGGAATAATACTACCTGCTATGTGTAATCTGAGGACATACACGAGTGAATTTATATAAATTGCTTAGCTTGTTGCCCGGCACATAAATAAATGCCCAAGGAATATTGTCAGCCCAGAGGGACTAACTGAGTGTGTTGAATGACTGACTCCCCAGGCTTCCCGACAATGTCACCTTTGAGGAAGGGGCCCTGATCGAGCCGCTGTCTGTGGGGATCCATACCTGCCGGCGAGCTGGAGTCACCCTGGGGAACAAGGTCTTTGTGTGCGGAGCCGGTAAGGAACAGACGATGCCCGAGTTATGGGTTCATTAAGGGAGAACGTGGGGGCACCTCTGCCCATCTCATTCCCCCTCCAAAGGGTGAAATTTGAATTTGGTCCTGGGATCTTTCTGGGTAGGAAAGGATTACAATGTCCCATCCCCTCGGTGGCTAGCACTTTGCTAAATACGTGAATATTTACAGAAATGATGTTATTTCCTAAGCAATTATTTGTTTAAAGAATGCAACCTGCGCTGAAACCGGTTTGGCTCAGTGAATAGAGTGTCGACCTGCGGACTGAAAGGTCCCAGGTTCGATTCCGGTCAAGGGCATGTACCTTGGTTGCGGGCACAATCCCCAGTAGTGGATATGCAGGAGGCAGCTGATTGATGATTCTCTTTCATCGATGTTTCTAATTTTCAATCCCTATCTCTTCCTCTCTGTAAAAAAAAATCAATAAAATATATTTTTTTAAAAAGAATGCAACCTGGGATTACATTTCAAACCTTGACAGGAAACTAGGGAAATAGTTTTATTGATTTCAGAGAGGAAGGAGAGGGGGAGAGAGAGAGGTACATCAATGATGAGAGTCATATTGATCGGTTGCTTCCTCCATGCACCCCAACCAGGCCCAGGAACCGAACCTGCAACCTAGGTACGTGCCCTTGACCGGATCTGAACCTGGGACTTTTCAGTCCGCAGGTCGACACTCTATTCACTGAGCCAAACCGGCTAAGGCTAGGGAAATATTTTTGAGAGTAAAGGGAAGAACAACTTTGGAACTTCCAAATCATACCAGAGAAGCGGCCTCCGGTCCATCCAGGAGTGAGGTGGGTCTGCTCACCAGCAGGGAAAGGAGCAGAGCCCAGCCCCGCTGTGAGCCAGCACTCTGCTTGCACCGGGAAGCTGCCTTCTCTCCTCCACCCAAACAAACCCTAGCAGCCTCAGGCAGAACCATTCTAGGCTTCTAACTGCCGTGACTCAGACAGCATGCTCACTCCTGGTGGGTATGACCTGGTGTTGCTCATACACTTTGAGAGCGAGGGTGTATAATTGACATATAACATTAGTTTAGGTGTACAACCTAATTATTTGATACTTGCATATTGAGATGACTTGTGAACGACACTGGGGTTAGGGACACCCACTCCTATATGGTTGAAAATCCATATATAAGTTTTGACTCTCAAGAACTTTACTAATAGCTTACGGTTGCCTGGAAGCTTCACCGATAACGTAAACAGTCTATTAAAGCATATTTTGCATGCTATATGTATTACAATCAAGTAAGCTAGAGAAAAGCAAACGTAACAAAAATCATAAGGAAGAGAAAACACATTTATAGTACTGTAGGTGTTTATTGGAAAAAACATCCGCATATAAGTTGGACCTGCGTGGTTCAAACCTTTGTTGTTCAAGGGTCAACAGTCTTGCAAAATGATGACCACAATAAGTCCAGTTAACATCTGTCACTAGATGGTTACCAAGTTTCCTTTACTTGGGATGAGAACTTTTAAGATTGATTCTCTTAGCAACTTTCAAATATGCAATACAGTCTCATTAACTATAGTCACCTCGCTACACATTACAAACACATGACTGATTTATACCTGGAAGTTTGTACTTTTTGACCCCTTTACCCATCTCACTGGCCTTCCCACCCACTTCTTCTAGCAACTAGTCTGTTCTCTGTATCTTTTAGCTTGGGATTTTTTGTTTGTATTAGAGTCCACATAAAGGCGAAATCATATGGTGTTTATCTTTCTCATATGGTATTTGTTTTTCTCTGTCTGACTTATTTTACTTAGCATAATGCTCTCCAAGGCCATCCATGTTGTCACAAATAGCAAGATTTCCTTCTTTTTATGGCTGAGTAATATTTCATGGTATATATACTACATCTTCTTTATTCACTCATCCCTCGATGGACACTTAAGTTGTTTCCATGTCTTGGTTATTGTAAACAATGCTGCAGTGAACATGTGGCACACACATCTTTTGAGTTAGTGTTTTTCTTTTCAGATAAATACTCAGAAGTGGAATCGCTGGATCACTTAATTAGTTGTGTTTTTAATTTTTTAAAGGAACTTCCATACTGTTTTCCATAGTGGCTACACCAATTTACAATACCACCAACAATGCACGAGAATTCCCTTATTTTATTTTATTTATTTTTTTATTTATTTTATTTATTTTATTTTATTTTATTTTATTTTATTTTATTTTATTTTATTTGCATTTCCCTAATAATTAGTGATGCTAAACACCTTCTTCCATGTACCTGTTGGCCATTTGTATGTCTTTTTCTTTTTTTTTTTTAAATATATTTTATTGATTTTGTACAGAGAGGAAGGGAGAGAGATAGTTAGAAACATCGATGAGAGAGAGTCATCGATCAGCTGCCTCTTGCACAACCCCCACTGGGAATATGCCCGCAACCAAGATACATGCCCTTGACCGGAATCGAACCCGGGACCCCTCAGTCCCCAAGCCGATGCTCTATCCACTGAGCCAAACTGGTCTTGGCTGTATGTCTTCTTTGAAGAAATGTTTATTCAGATCTTCTGCCCACTTTTTGTTGTTATTGTTAATCCTCACTTGAGGAAATTTTTTTCTGTTGATTTTTAGGGAGATTGAAAGGGAAGTAGTGGGGGGGACAGAGAGAGACAGATAGACTGATGTGAGAGAGACACATTGATTGGTTGCCTCCCATACATTCCCAGGCCAGGGATTGAACCTACAATCCAGGTATGTTCCCTTGACCAGGAAATAATGGAATTATTTATTTATTTATGTTATTGAGTTGTATGAGTTCTTTATATCTTTTGGATATTAACCCCTTAACACATATGCCGTTTGCAAATATTTTCTCCTATCTGGTAGATTGCCTTTTTCATTATGATGGTTTCTTTTGCTTGTAGAAGCTTTTTAGTTTGATATAGTCCTACCTATTTATTTTTGCTTTTATTGCCTTTGCTTTTGGCATCAAATCCAAAAGAAAAATCTTTACCAAAACTGATCAAGGAGCTTACTACCTATATTTCCTTCTAGGAGTTTTAATCCTCATACAATTTTGTGAATGGTTTTTCTTTTCTTTTTTAAAATATATTCATTTCAGAGATAAAGGGAGAGGGAGAAAGAGATAGAAGCATCAATGTTGAGAGAGAATCATTCATCAGCTGCCTCCTGCACATCCCACACTGGGACCAAGCCTGAAACCCAGACATGTGCCCCAACCGGGAATCTAACCATGACCTGGTTCATATGTCGATGCTTAACCATTGAGCCACACCAGCTGGGAACTGATTTTTCTTTGGCAGAACCAAATAAGTGACCACAGGGCTTCCTAAGTAGAGTGATGGGTATAGAGTAGACTTGCCTCAGTATGCGAGCAGGCCGTCGGATTCAGGTGACAGATTTTTAAAATACGGAACCTTTTTGTCATAGGCAGAAAAGAAGTCTGCCCAGCTGGAGTGGCTCAAGTTGAATTGGAACCTTATCCTGTACACCAAAAGTTGCCAGTTGAATTCTCAGTCAGGGCACATACCTGGTTCAATCCCTGGTTGGGGCATATATGGAAGGCAACCAATCATTTCTTTCTCTCTCTCACCCTCTCTCTCTAAACATGCCCTCAGGAGAGAATTAAAGGAAAAAAAGACAAGTCATACATACCACATGGCATTCACAGAAATTTACCAATAGACCCATCAGCCCAAGAGAATCACTATTAACATTTTGGTGTAGAGCTTTTCGTTTCTTTTCTTTTCTTTTCTTTTCTTTTCTTTTCTTTTCTTTTCAATGAGATCATGTTAAATATGCTTTTTTTTTAACCTACTCTTTTAAAAAATATATATTATTACCATTTTTTAATGTCAGATATAAAAGAGTTAGGACTTAATTTTTTAATTAACTGTGTGGTACCCCACAATAGTTTATTTAACTAATTAATCCCTTTGTTGGTCATTTCAGGTACTTCCCAGTGTTTTGCTTTCTAGGGGAACTCACAAAATTATTTTCCAGGGGAGTGTTCAAAAAAAAAATTCCCAAAGATTTTCTGAAAAGCCTTATATTTGTGGGATTTTGTATTAAAACTATCATGCCATTTAGAAGGTAGATACTGTGGGGAAGCAGGTCTCCAGGCTGATTCTTAGTCACCTGCACATCCTGAGGCTGCCTGAACAGCTGCCTCCACTCAGGGAGCCAGCTCACTTAAGGATACTCCAGGCTGGTCCTCGAAGGGCACATAAAACAATATGTCTCTCCTTGGGCAGGTGTGGTGGGTTCTAAGCTGGTAGGGTTCAAAGAGAGAACAGGAAAATGTATCCAGACCTTCTGAGATAACCTCTAAGAAAATATATGCTTCCTTGAACCCTTTGATTCTTTGACATCATCTCCACACAGTACAAAAGAGTAAGTGGAAAGTTTATAACTCTGTTTAGCAGAGTACCAAGCAGAATCCAGCCCTATGAGCAAGCAATCCCTCATGTACTTATTTACTCATGCATTCAGTAAACTGCTGTTAAGATCTCACTATGTGTCAGGCACTAAGATAGATGCTAACGGTACACAAAAGATATGACTGTTGTTTGTGGCCTATACAGGGGGAAGAACTGATGCTTCATATTTTATAAACATCTTCCATTTCCTGCTTTATTTAGGGCCAATTGGATTGGTCAATTTGCTGGTGGCCAAGGCAATGGGTGCAGCTCAAGTGGTGGTGACTGGTAAGGTTTTCTTTTTAAAAATATTCTTGAGCAGCAAAGAGTTGGGCTTATAGACTGAGGCAGAAGCATAAGACCTGTTACCTTCAGTGGGTACTGGGTCTCTAAAGGGGTTTCTCCTCTTTTCTCTGGGTTCCAAGGTTGAGAAGCTACTCAGGGGGTGACCAAGTCAGAGCTCAGGAGGACACTCTTCTTTGAAGCTGCTGGGAGAAGGAGACCTGGCTCTTTATGTATGGACCTGAGATGCCCATACTGCCTACTCAGTCCTAAAATGAGGCTCAGCCCTTGGTTCAGTTGCCTAAGCCCAGGAAACAGAGGGTGTGTTTGTTTGTATGTATTTATGTATGTGATGTGAGGTTAGAGGGAAGTATACTCTACACTAATAAAAGATCAAGATGCAAATTGACCATACATTTGTGATGCCCACCAGCCAGTCAGGAGTGAGTATGCAAATTAACTCAACAAATATGGTGGGTTAATTTGCATATACAGGTGGCCAGTGGCGGGACCATGATGACATACAGGCCTTCTACACTGCCCCCAGCCATTCAGCGCCTCTGGGCAGCAAGGGAAGGTGGGGCTGGAGTGGAAAGGCGGTGCCAGCAGCTACGGAAAGAAAGGCCCATTCTTGCACAAATCTTCATGCATCGGGCCTCTAGTATATTTATAAAGATGTTTGTGTGTGGGGTGTGTGCTATGAGTGAGAGATCTGAGGGTATATGTGTGAGGTGAGGGGATCCAACAGCATGTGTGGATATGTTTGGAAGCACATGGGGTATCAAAGGGTGTATATGTGGAGAAGGCATCTGTTAGGGAGAATATTTGTGTGTGTGTAAGGTATCTGAGAGTATGCATATGTGTGAGAAGGTATTATTACTGAATATGTGTGGATTAGTGTAGAGTTGTGTAGTGTGCAGATGTGTGGATGAATAGGGTAGTGGAAATGCAGAGGGGTGTGAGGAAAAGCTATCAGAGTGTATTAAAGGTATCTGTGAAAGTGTGTGTGTGTTTGAAGGCAGTGTGTATGCGTGTAAGTAGATATGTATTTGTATGGGAGTGTGTGAAGGTTTAGAGAGTATGTATGTTGGGCTCAGCAACACCATCCACTATACCAGAGCTTCATTGGAATTATTACCTGCACCTCCATTTTAAAATATATATATATGTTTTTACTGCTTTTAGAGAAAGAGGGAGAGAAACGCCCCCTACTGGGATGGAGCCCAGGGCACGGGACTGCACTCAACCAACTGAGCCAGGGCTGCCCCTCCGTTTTTATTTTCTCCCTAATCCGCCATCCAGTTTCTCAGTTTGAAGGAAACCTTTTTTCAACTTTAGATCTGTCTGCCTCTCGGTTGTCTAAAGCCAAGGAAGCTGGGGCTGACTTCGTCCTCCAGATCACCAAGGAGAGCCCGCAGGAAGTCGCCAGCAAAGTGGAGGGTCTGCTGGGGCGCAAGCCGGACATCACCATCGAGTGCACTGGGGCGGAGTCCGCCATCCAGGCCGGCATCTACGTGAGCGGGGTGTGGGCAGGGCTGGGAACCGAGAAGTCAGGGGTCCTAGGATCAAGCTTCTCCACTGACATGCTCTGTGGTCCCCCATCAAAATTAAGTGATCTCTCTTAAGGAGATAACAGCACTTGCCTAACGTTCTTATCAGACATTTGTGAGGGTTAAACAAGGTAACAAATATACACAGTCCTTGAAAGGTAAGTGACCCACACGTTTAGGATGGGTTTTCTGTCCCGACCATATCTGTGATCATAAAAGTTGAGCTCTTGATAAAGGATCCATAGGAGGAATGGGGAAGCATGTCTTAAGTGTGGGAAACCCTTCTCCTGTTTTATTGAGAAAGCTTTGGTCTCTAAGTCATTTATAGAGAGTGACAGCCAGTAGTTCAGTTAACCACAAAGCTAAGTTTTCAGGGCCAGGGTTGGCTGCTGTTGTCCTCTCCCAGAATTAGGAGGGGATAAGCTGTCAGTACCTGATAGGTCCCTCTTGGGCTCACCTGTGATTTATGAGAAGTTGGCAGGGAGGTGGAGAGGGGAAGTGGCTTTGCAGTCAAAGTATGAGGAAGAGAGGAGAGAAAGAATACGTCCCAGGTTCCAAGCCTCACCATGTACCAGGTCCTCTGCTAGGTGTTTTATAAATGTGATAGCCCCATCTGCACAGAAGCCGTGAAATGAGTCACTGTTTTACAATGAGAGGCCCATTGTGTGCTTGCCTTGAGCACACTTCCCCAATGCCTGTGCTTTCCTTGCTCTGTGCACGGCTCAAGAAAAAGGGCAATCATGCTATGGTAGGAGGGATGGGGCTGAGGCTGGGGCAAGCGCTGGCTGCACCTGCCACCACTGGGACTGCTGCCCCGCCTTCCAGACTGCTTCCCCGCAGCAGCTGGGCTTCCTCCTTCCTCCTGAGTCATAGCTGGGTCACACACAAGGGCATTTTGGATCCCACAAACACCCCAGGGAAAGCTGACCCCTGAGGTGAGTGTGGCATAGCCCTCCGGCCCAGTACCTGGCAGAGCTGCCAAGCCTCCCCCTTCCAAGATGCCCATGGCATCAGGGACAAATTAAATGGTGACAGGAGGAAGGAACAGATGGCATCCTCTGGGACCAAGAGAAACTAAAACTCAGAGAGGTGTTGGGTATGATCATGACAAGGCTTGGGCACTTCGAGGTCTGTGACAATGAGTGAGGTAAGTCTGTTGTCTTCAAGTTGCTGGCAGATCAGGCACACTGTACTCCCCCCACCCCTCCCCCAATCCCCAATGCACAGAGAGGCAGTAAAAGGCATGGCTTCTCAACTCGGGGCTTTCCTTCCTCTTTTCTCCTGCCTGAGGAGCATATGGAAACAGCTGGCATCTCCATCTGTTAACAGTGGGGCCCAGTTACCAGCCTACCTGAGGTGAGCGTGGAGGTAAATGTGACCCAAGAGCCTCACCAGGCCTGAGGCCTGTGCCTCTCCTGAGTGGAGGTGGAGCCATCATGCATGACGGGAGCTGTATAATGCTGCAGGCTGCCCCATCAGCTGGCAGCCTAGGCGGAGGCACCTTGCATGGGCATACCTGAGAGTTCTTTTCCTGCTCTTCATGACTAGGTCATGTTCGTGAGGAGAAGTGGCAAATGCTTAGGGTAGAATTGATGTCATCTCCATGCATTCGCCTGGGCTACCTGGTGGCTGTTTGGGGTGGCCAGCGTGAAGGTGTTCTCCCTCCTCACCAGGTGGAGAGGAAACATCAGAGGGGGAAGCAGTTTTCCTAGAAAATTTCTCAGTTTTCCGTGGCTCACTCACATCTTTGACTTCTCGGCCCCACTTTTCCAGTGGGTACAGCAGCATTTTCCTGCTTCTGTGGAGCAGGCACAACACAGGAGCTATGTGGAGATTGTCGAGAGAAACTGCACTCTCTGGCCTACTCCAGGAGGGAACTGATGAGGCAGATAGATGTTCAAGGAAAACAAAATCCATTATGGCCAATACCCTCAGGATGAATATTTCTAGAATAGAGATATTTATAAACTAGAGGCCCGGTGCACAAAATTTGTGCGCCGGGGCGGGGGGGAGGGGGAGGAGAGTTGTCCCTCAGCCCAGCCTGCACCCGCTCCAATCTGGGACTCCTTAAGGGATGTCTGACTGCCTGGCAGTCAGACATCTTTCTTACAGTCCAGGATTGCTGGCTCCCAACTGCTCGCCTGCCTGCCTTTCTGATTGCCCCTAACCGCTTCTGCCTGCCTGATCACCCCCTATCCACTCCCATGCCAGCCTGATTGATAGGTCTGACTGCTCCCCTGCCAGCCTGTTTGTCCCCAACTTCCCTCCTTTGCCTAACTGGTCACCCCTAACTGCCCTCCCCTGCAGGGTTGATCGCCTTCTACTGCCCTCCCTTGCAGGCCTGGTGCCTCCCAACTGCCCTCCCCTACATGACTTATCACCCACAATTGCCCTCCCTTGCAGGCCTGGTGCCTCCCAACTGCCCTCCCCTACATGACTTATCACCCACAATTGCCCTCCCTTGCAGGCCTGTTCCCTCCCAACTGCCCTCCCCTGCTGGCCATCTTGTGGTGGCCATCTTGTGTCCACATAGGGGCAGGACCTTTGACAACATGGGGGCAGCCATATTGTGTGCCAGCTTGCATGTATGAGGTAGTTTTTAAACCACAAACTTCCAGTAGTCCTCCTCGTTTGTTTAGTGCTTAATAGTTTTCCCCACAAGAGGGTGGTCCTTAGAGGTTTGACAAAAGTCCTGTCCTATGGGTATTCCCACTGGAGGAGGAGCAGGTGCTGAAATGAGGAAGTAGCTGGAGCCAACATCTGGTATGAGTTAGTAAAGCGTTGAAAGATGTGCCAGGGTTGCTGAAGATCAATGTTTGTAGGGGAGATTCTCACTGGGGTCTGGAGGACCTTGGCTATGTCACTGGATGTTGTAGGCAGTGAAAGATGCTCTCAATTTGCTTGTCCTCCCGTGGTGGAGTGTATTATTTCAGGATCTTTAAGGAAGATAATGTTTACTTGGCTGCTCTGTTGAGTTTGGTCGCCATGTTGAAGAGTTCAGCGGTATAAAGAGAATCATTCCTGGATACTCACTTGATGCAATCAGAAGATATCTGTAACACTGCTACCCTGTTTCCCTGAAAATAAGACATCCTCCGAAAATAAGGCCTACTTACAGGTTTCCTTCTGAGTGAAGTATAAGGCATCCCCCCGAAAATAAGCCCCCTCCCCCCAGGCTCCATCTCAGAATGCTGTTGCTAAACATGAGAGATTTGGTCCACTGATTCTGAAAGAAATGGAGTCATAAGAAATTCACCAGGAATTTCAGGAATTGGATTGTTATGATGATGTTCCAGAAGATGATGACATGATTGTCATTGAATAAATGAGTAAATTCTTGATACTGTAGGATTCACAGTTGGTCTGGTTTGTGTTGACAACTACTGTACTACCGTACCGTATACAGATAATACATTTTCTTTATTTTCATTTAACAATAAATGTGTACCGTATTCTTCTTCATGGAAAAATAAGACATCCCCTGAAAATAAGACCTAGCGCATCTTTGGGAGCAAAAATTAATATAAGACATTGTCTTATTTTCGGGGAAACAGGGTATGAGCAGGAAGTCTGTATTTTCTTATCTTTCAGGTTTTCTTGTTCTTCCTCTTCAGGCCACTTGTTCTGGTGGGACCCTGATGCTTGTGGGACTGGGTGCTGAGATGATCAATGTGCCCCTCGTGCAGGCAGCCATCCGAGAAGTGGATATCAAGGGCGTGTTTCGTTACTGCAACACGTGAGTATATTGTGGGTGAGTGGGATGGCCAGTGGCCAACAAGACCAGGGCAGGCCTCTGGGACTGAGTCTCTGCCTATTTATGACAAGCTCAAGTCCCTTGCCTCCTACTCCAGAGCCCCAGGGCCCACTCTGGGAAGTGAGAGGGTCTTATTGTGCCTCAGCCCACATTCTGTGGCTTCACTCTCTCTCCCTTGGGGAGCTCTGTCTAGGACCATAATCCCCACAGTGTCCCTTACTCATACCTTTAGAGTCTAACCATTCCCTCACCAGAGTGCCAGTAAACTGTCCCAAGCTGAGCTGCTCAGGGTGTGATTGGATTACCCTGGTCTGCCTCCCTAAGGCTTACCTGCCTTTTCACAGTGGCCTCCATATGCCTCAGGCCTTCATGCCAAAAGAATTCCAGGCTTCACGGTGGACATTGCAGAGGGGTCAGTGGGCATTTGGAAACAGCCTCTGAACTCCCAAGTTATAAGTTCTAAAATCATTCCCTCCATTTTTCGTCTGTAGAATTGACCTGGCAGAACCATAGTGCTTTCAGTGATGTGCTTGGTACATTTGGGGGCCTGGCTCTTGTGCTTGGTACATTTGGGGGCCTGGCTCTTTCCTCCTGAAGGCTGAATGTAATGTTTGTGATTTTTTTTTACAGATGGCCAATGGCGATTTCAATGCTTGCATCCAAGGCAGTGAATGTAAAGTCTTTAGTGACCCATAGGTTTCCTCTGGAGAAGGCGCTGGAGGCCTTTGAAACATCCAAAAAGGGTTTGGGTTTGAAAGTCATGATCAAGTGCGATCCCAACGATCAGAATCCCTGATGTTATTTGGGCTCTGCCCTCATTCCCACCCTCTTAGCATCTCAGGGCTAAATGGCTAGGCCAGGGTGGGCTTGAAGGCAGAAGTTTCTCTTAACTAGTAAGGGTGATTAAAATAATTCATTACAAGCAGAGAGCCTTACACAGAACGGGTATTATGCCTTAAAAACACAAGCAGGGATAGTTCGAGGAACTTGTAGTCAGAATGATCTGTTTTTGCTGAGTCAAAGGAGGGAAGAAATCTGTCCCTGAGTTCAAGTGGGGGGTGGGAGGGCTGAGTTATGAAGAGACAACTTGATCGAGGCGTAACTGGTCCAGAAGCTGACTTTCAGGAAAATCTGCAGCTCAGGACCTGGGATGAGGGGCTGTCAGCAGTTTTAGCTGAGCACAGTATTTCTAGACATAGGTGATAGTTTTGATGACAAGGAGAATAAAGGACTGACTTTCTGGGTCTAGGGTAATTATAAAACCAATCAAACAAATGAACCCAAAACCCCACATGAGATCAAACCAATTTGTATTCCTCAAATGTAGAAACAGTCAGGGAACTTCTCAACACTGAAGTCTGCCTTTTTTTTCAACCCTGAGAATTGTGTTTGCAAGGTGAATAGCCAACTTCCTAACCCCCCTTCTCCCAGCCATTGCTGGCTTTGTTGTCACAGGCAACCAGGCGATACCTACCTGAGAGTCACAGGGGGTCCTCATGGGAGACCTTAAATCATGCCTTTGGTGCCCCACAGGAATAGCAGCCCCTTCCAGGCTCAAACTCACGCAGGATTATTTTACAATTCCATGTAATTCTATTAACTATGAACAAAACCGTCCCCTTCTCATAGCCAATTAAGACTCTTGATGTCTTTCTGTCTGAATAATCTCTCTAAAATTGTGACCTTATTTTAAGTTTACTGTGTAAGAGTCAATCCCATTATGCCCATTTGTGACTTTAAGATTATTAGTCAGGAATGAGGCTATAGTAGCTGTGACTTAACTTGGACTGAAGCCATTAAGCCCTCACTCCAGATGGGGGTAGAGGGTGACTTTGAAGAGGTTCTGATTTTCTCACGACATGTAAAGCTGTGACCTGGAATTCCTCAGCCTGCTTTGGGTAATAAATACTGCTTGTAGTGCCAGGCTACTGTCATAATTTCTGCCTCTGTTCAAGGAAGAAAGGGTGTGGGTTTAGCCTTTGACAAAGGGGAAGTTCCAAGATTTTGAAAGCCACATAGTTTGTGCATCAAATATAATTTCATTGAATGTTAAAATTAACATTAATGCTCTCTTAAGAGAGCAAAATACATGTGATTCTTTTACAGATAAGGAAATGGAGGAATCAGATAATTTGCTCAGGTCACGCACTACCTTTTTTTAATTTTTATTTTTTAGAGCTTTTAAAAAATATGTATGTTTTTATTGATTTTAGATAGAGACAAAGGGAGAGGGAGGGAGAGAGAAACGGCGAAGAGGGAGAAACAATGATGGGCTGCCTCCTACATGGCCCCTACTGGGGACTGAGCCCATAACCTGGGCCTGTGCTCTGACCCCTTGGTGCATGGGTCAGTGCTCAACCACTGAGCCTCACTGACGGGCACACACTACTGTTCTATGTCATCTCTGGAGGAGGGTAGAATCTGAGACTTCCGCCTACGCATAATACAAGCACACACTCAGTAATCACATCTCCCACTATGCCTGCTTTGAGTCCTGTTTAGCTCTAGGGTCAGACTTGCCTGCTGCCTTCTATCAAAACTCCTTCCAGCCCAGCCAGCATGGTCAGTGGTTGAGCGATGACCTATGAACCAGGAGGTCTCGGTTTGATTCCTGGTTGGGGCGCATGCCTGTGTTGGGGTGTGGGGTGTGCAGGAGGCAGCCATCAATGATTCTCATCATTGATGTTTCTTTCTCTCTCTCCAAAATCAATAAAAATATATACAAAATAAAACACACACAACTCTGCCTCCAGCTCTGGTGCCCAAAAGCCTCCAATAGGAATGTTCCTGGAGGAGGTGGCTCACTGTGTTAAGCTCACAAGCAGCCACTTTCCCCTGATTTGGTGGAGCCAGGAGCCACTCAACCTGAAAGGGACTCAGGAGCTTCAGAGGGGACCCTGAAAAGCCAGGAGTACCAGGATGAAGACGGCACTTTTACACAATAACTGGGCTGGGTCTTCTACGTCAATGTCTTGGGAGCCTCAGTTTCCTGGTTTTTATTGATTTTAATTGTGTTTGCAAGGTGAATAGCCACACAGGCAAGTGGAAAATGAAACCGCAGGTAAAAGAATACTTTTCCGTTTCCAAATCTCCTGAGGGGCTCTAAGCTGCTGTGATTTCACAACTTCCCAAGCAGGGGCAGAGAGGGTGGCAAGAGATGGTGTGGATGGGCCACCAAGTCCATCCTTGGGATGGTGAGAGGGCCCGAGTCGGTGCTGCCAGGCTCCCTGGACCACATCCTCTGCTTCAAAGCAGCTGCAGGAAGCCGGAGAACTCATCCCAATACTTACCTGGCGGGGGAAATGCCATGATCACGGACAGCTCATTCCTCACACCACCCGTAAGTGTTCAATAAATACTGTTGGACTCTGAATCAGTCCCGGAACCAAAACATAAATTTCCCATGAACTCCCCAAGCTTGGGTGGCCCAGCCAGCCTCTGTGTGCTCTGTCCCAGGTGCGTGACACCTGGTTCACTTCCAGTCAACACTGAGGACCCCACCCAGCCGACACTCCCAGCACTGGGTAGGGTGTAAGGGTGGAGAGCTGGAAAGAAGGCCCCCCCCACCCCCCTCAGACAAAATAGAGGGTGGAAGGGGAAGATTGCACCATGGATGTCAAAGGAAAAAGCGGGCTTGGCTCTGGAAACTCCTACTTGCTGTCCACCTTTGCTACAGCAGATGCTGACGTGAAGTCCCTCTGGCCTCCCAACCCCTGGTTCTCGGGCCTTGCCAGACCGACTGTACAGCACAGTCCTGCCTCTTCCTTCCTGGCTCCTGCTTTGTTCCCTTTGGGAGAACAAAGGGGGCCACGGGAAGCTACTTGGCCCCGAGTTAGGAGTGGGGAAGCAGATAGGATTGGATATTCGCCTTTTCCCAGAACTGCACACGATCTCAGCCTAGGCTTGGAGTACAGAAGCCAAAGGGCAGGACTCACATCCCTTAGTGGCAGGCAGGTCTCCGTGGTCCTATCCCCCCCACACACACCCAGGTCCTCCAGGGCTCCGGAAAAACAGGATGCAGCAGGAGGCTGGACTCGGAGTTCATCGCCGGAGGGAAGTGCCTTCCAAACAGCAGCAGGTGTTTTCTGGTGCAGCCACTGCCATGTTGGAACTGCACAGTGGTGCTCCCACAGCCTCCCTCATCCCCCTCCCCTCCCCTTAAAGCCCCGATGGTGTCAGATATTGAGGCACTTCCTTGGGCCACTGACAGAGGCATGAGATATGTGGATGATGTTCTTGCCAAGAGATCGCTCACTGAATCTTATCCTCTGGGAGCTTCTTGTGGTTGCTGGGTGGGAACAAGCCTCTGTCCTCTGGTCTTGGACCCATGAGGCCTGTGAGAGGCAGATGTAAAGGCTTCAATGCCAGCCCAGTCAGTGGCTCAGTGGTTGAGCGTCTGCCTATGAATCAGGAGGTCACAGTTTGATTCCTGCTCAGGACACATACCCAGATTGCAGGCTCGATCCCCAGTGTGTGTGTGTGTGTTTGGGGGGGGGGGGGGGGAGGGGGTTTAAGAGGGGAGGGTGCAGGAGGCAGCCAATCAATGATTCTTATCACTGATGTTTCTATTTACCTCTCCCTATCCCTTCCTCTCTGAAATCAATAAAAAATATTTTTAAAATAAAATATTTTTTTTTTTAAAAAAAAGGATTCAATGCCAGAATTTTTAGGCCTATCTGACCTGGGCCCACCACCAACTCACTGTGTGATTTACCAAGTCACTTCAATCCAAGCCTTGGTTTTCTCCCTTAATGGCAGTGTTGGGCTATTATTAACAACTTTCAACCAATGTGCTACAAGAATTTTTTAAATATGCAATAACTTGACTAGTCAGGAGCACTGACCTCTTTTCCCTTAAATTGCCAAATTAAAAAAAAAAAATGATAACAGCCAACACAACAATAACCATGAATGAATAAAAAATATACCTGCTTGGCAAAATAAAATATGTTTTTGGTGTACTACAGAATTTTAGTCATTGGTTTTTGTGTGCCGTGAGATGAAAAAGGTAAAAAATCACTGGTCTTCCGGCACTGACGTTTTACGGGGGACTGAGAACCTCTTTGGGTTGAGAGCCAAACTGGTTTCGGCAAAAGTGACTTTTTGTTTGTTTGTTTTTTAAATCCTCACCAGAGGATATTTCCCCCATTGCTTCTCAGAGTGGAAGGGAGAGAGGGACAGAGAGAGAGAGAGAAACATTGATGTGAGAGACATAGACTGATTGCCTCCTGCACTATCCCCAACCAGGGGAGACCAGGGGATGGGGAGTGAACCCGAAACCCAGGCGGTGCTCTCGACTGGAAATGGAACCTTCGACCCTTAGGTGCTTGGGCTGCTACTCTAACCACTGGCCAGGGCTATACAACATCGTTTATAGCCACTATATCCCATTGTGCGGATGTACTATCATTTACAGTGCAATTCACAATATTTTTTTGTTTGTTTATATTTTATTGATTTTGTACAGAGAGGAAGGGAGAGAGATAGAGAGTTAGAAACATCGATGAGAGAGAGTCATCAATCAGCTGCCTCTTGCACACCCCTTACTGAAGATATGCCCGCAACCAAGGTACATGCCCTTGACCGGAATCGAATCCGGGACCCTTCAGTCCCCAAGCCGACGCTCTACCCATTGAGCCAAACCGGTCTCGGCAATATTTTGGTTATTTAGACAGTGTATAGGCCTTGGTCTTATGATAAAGTTGTAATGACTATCCTTGAGCATGTATTTTTGTGCTCCTGATGTATTTCCTGAAGTTATGTTATATTTATAATGAAAATAGTTGGGTTTGAAGG